GCAAAGAAGTGAATCCTTGAATAGTACCATAGGAAGCAAAAATCCAAAAATCCGTTATTATGGTGGGAGTGAGAGCAATGACTTTCGTGTTGCTTGCGCAGTTGCACAAAAGAATATCGGATTTAGTTACGTTGATAAAACACTAGATTCTCTTGGCATAGATCCTGGTGTCACTTGCAGCTTCCACAATTCTACAATGGACAAGAAACAACAATGTGATAAAAAAAGAAAATCTTCAAAGGAGTATAAGATCAGGAGACATCAGCTGCAATCTGAGAGGATCTCAAAAACTGCAAGGAAAGAGGCAAAAGAAGGAAAAACTTATGAAACAGGTATTGGGCTAAATCTGGAAAAGGAAACTACAGTTACAACTACAGGCAACAATACAGATGTTGATGTTGATAAAATTGTTATGGGCATAACAAATAATAAGCAATTATATGAAGACTTGATGAAACTAGTTCCACCTTTCACTGAAAGACCAGCAAAAGAATACCTAAGTCATGATCCTGATAAAACATACCAGTTTGTATTATTTGACATTGAAACAACATGCACTGGTAAACAGGCAGAGATCTGTCAACTATCGGCAATATGTCAAAATGGTGACACCTTCTCTTCATATATTCTGCCCAATAATTCTGTTGGATATTATGCGTCGAAAGTCAATAATCTCACAGTAGAAACCATAAATGGGCAAAGAACATTGTGCAAAGATTTGAAACCAGTAAATTCAGTATCTCTTCAAATAGCACTACAAACATTTATAAAATTCCTACAATATCAACAAAACTTAATTAGGCCTACCTGTTGTACAAATACAGTCGAAAATGAGAACCTCGTAACTGTCCTTGTTGGTCATAATGCTGCCACATTCGACGTTCCTACACTTCTTCGCAATGCCGGTAATAATTTCGAAGAACAACTGCACAGCATGAAAATTTGTTTTGGAGACAGCTTGCCGCTTATAAGATCATTGATATCCAATCAACATGCCCCACTAAAGCAATCGAACGGCCAATTCTGTAAAGCAAATCTTGCCAGTGTTTACAAATGTCTATTCGATCAAGATTTCGATGCACACGATGCTTTAGAAGACGTGATTGCACTAAAGAGAATCTTGTTCAGTCCAGAAATGAGCATTGATGTAAAAACAATAGTGGATCGCAGCCAGATATCTTCAGTTCGTGCCATGAAATCTGATATGGAATTCATCGATTTTCGCCATGATCGTTATCAAACTTTCGTTGGAAACCTTCACTGTCCAAACGAAGATCATAGTCCCATCTCACATGGTATGGCTCTGAAAATTGCAGGTAGTGGACTCTCCTACAGCGATCTTCACAACTTGTGGCAGAAATTTGGGGAAACTGGAGTCGTTGGAATACTGTTCATGCCGTCATACAACCCGAAGGACACGCGAAGTACACCATCGGACAAAAATCACCCACGAGTGACGAAGAGCAAAAGGATTCTATCGAATGTCGTGAAATACTTTCAGTCATGTAACGTTTCAAATATTTCCACCAGTAGTTAGGAAAAAATATAGAAATTCAAATATTTTCAATTAATTAAAACTTGAGTGAAACACAACCTTGTTATGTGCGTGAATTTAGCGTGTTTTTTTCTTATCTGCGCCCACTAAATTGTGTACGCGCATGTCAATTCATTGATCTTGCAGAGTGTGAAAAACTTTGGCCGCGAATTGGCCGCGCGGAATAAAACCGTGATTATTTCCAAAACGAGTTCGGTAAGGTACCCTGAAAATTTGTACATGAGTAGATACATACTTCAAGATTTCATGATGGAAAAATAAAAAAAAATTGTCGACAGAAACTGGCAAAAAAGTCGAAATTTAATTCTAAAGAATTGAGTCGACAGATTTTTTTTAAACTTCCCAGAAATGTTTCTCGACACTAACGTAACTGATTTATTTAAAAAAAAATTGGGGTCACCGAACTCATTTTCGAAAAAAACTCGAAAAACTGCGATATTTTCAGCTATTTAGTGCTACCATTATTCGTTATAGTTGTCGTGGAAACGCGACTTTTATCAGAATTCTTCTTGTTTGCGACACGTCTTACTATGTGTTACAATTATAAGTAAAACTTAACCCTGTAGAAGCATTTAAACAGAAAATATTCAACTTTTGCTCATTTGGCTAAAAAGTGTATTGAGCCACCTTAATTGTAGTACAGTGGGTTTTGTTGACTTGTGTTGTTGTGAGCTGCAGCGCCCGCGTCGGCGATAGAAATCGTCACAACGATTATTATAACTGGTTTTTGAACAACCGGCCTTAGCTCGTGTTCATGTAACAAAGGATACTCTTCTATTTATATAAGTCAAAAATCTGACAAAAAGTTGACAACCATACTAAAATATTGCATGCAGGTTTATGTCAAGTTAACAAGTAAATGGACTTGTGTCAAGTGTTAACACACTTCTGATTGGATTTAAAAGTAGTAATTAAGTTGGTATAGCTAACATTTTTTTTTCAAAATGATGTATACAATCTCAGACATTATTTAATGAACTAGCTTGCATATGCGCTTTCTATTTTCAGTCGTAACCTGTTGCAATATTTCGTAAGTTTCAGAAAGAATTTTCCAGAGATGAAGTTTTGGTTTGTAATTGTAGTTCGGTCAATCGCAGCTGGCATTCATTGTGACTGCGTTGAGTACAACGTACGCGTAAACTAATTTAAACTAGTACACACTAAAAAGGTAATGTGATTGCATGTACTGGCCCGTAGGGTACATGAACATCAAGTAAATATATCTGCATGCAAAGATATAAGTTTTGAGTTGTTTTGTTCTTATTTGCTGGAGTTATCATATACGCATAAATGTTTTTATCGATTTTTAGCGCTTCCATATTCTCGCAAGGCCACCGCCAATTAAATATATGTACAGTTAATTAAAAAAAGCCTGTCCTTTGCAAACCTTAAACTATATGAACCTTAAACTCTAAGCATAATGATTATTGATTAATGGGAGCATCATTTAATCAGTTTAGGAATCATAATGGGGCCCATTTCTTGGAGATCTAGACGTGGTAAATATCTAGTCCCTACGAGACAAATTCATTCACAAATAGCTCTAATATTAGCTTGAAACGTGTGCTCCCATTAAGCTTTGCGCGATTAGAGTTTAGATAATAGTTTAGATAATAGTAAAGATAATTTCCACTCCGTTCTGCGCATCAGTTCTGTTCTTAACAAAGGGGGACCATTAGACCATATAAACCCAAATTTTGCATCTTTCGAACTTTTTTGAATTGAAACGTAGAGTGTACTATATTCATTTACAAGCATAGCGATCCAGAAAAATGTTAGATATTCAGTTAGTATATCATATTTTACAAATATAGCAGTTCAAAACGTAAACAAAGTTCACGCATGCGCACAGGAGTGGAAAGAGTTTAAAGTTTCAGAGGACAACCCTTTTCGAATTGGCTGTATATAAAATGTCAAAATGCCTCAGTAGATATAGACGTATGTCTGTTTGCAATTGAGAATAATTACGCAAATGTATTGTAAACTCTAAATGCCGATTTACACAGAGGAGGTATAGATCGCTGACTCGGCTCGCGAGGCGTGACATTTTGAACAATCCAAGATGGCGGAACAAGCGGGCAAAAAAAAGCGCGGAAAATCTTTTTGCTACTAATTAAAAGGCAAATAGTTTTCTAGCGTTCTCAAGTTTACAGCAGTTTTTAAGAGCTTTAAAGCAGGCCTGTAGCTGAGGGGGGCCTGGGGGGGCAGTGCCCCCCACTCGGAAATAAAATTGAAATTATGCCCCCCGTTATTCCACATTTTTTGCCATTTAAAAAAATAGACAACGCGGCTGTCATATCTAAGCCAACAAGGACAACAAAGGCATAGCCTAATTTCTTACTATATGCTGAGGTTAATTTTATATTTTTGTATTAATTTAGACAAAAATATCCACAAATAGTGCGTGATTTGTAATTTTGTTTTGTATTTTTCTTTATCATGGATTATATCAATGGTTGAGGAACCAATCAAAATTATGAATTTGTAATATTCCATGATTGAATGTATACTAAACAAAGATAGCAAGGCTGGGTCAATAAAATCATATGCATTATATACAATACCATACACCTTTTGTATGAAAATTTTGTCAATTTTTGTATGAAAATAGATTGCTTGTGGCCTAGCTAAAATAAATAACCTCATTGTTAGAAGCTAGGCTAGATAGCAGACGGCTGAACTAACCCTATACAGAACTTTAAAGACTCACAAAAAAGCACAAGTATAATACTTTTACAATGTAGAAGAACGTTCCGTTCGATCCCAATTTTTCTGAGCTGGAAAGGAAAACTAGCTGCTAGCACGATAGTCAAAATCATCCCAACCCCTCTGTTACATTCTTTCTGCAGTGCCCCCTCAGAAATTGAGAGCCAGCTACGGGCTTGCTTTAAAGTCGTTTGATTTCCGTTTTTTGCTTCTGAGTGATAAAAATATTGAACAAGATTCATTTGCGTTCGTTTTAATTGCCAAAACATGCTACAGTCTTGTGCCCCGTACAATTGTACGAAGAGAAGAGTGCCCATGGCGAGAAATTACGGACATTGATTCTGAGCATGTGCGAACTTTGACAAACAAAATGGCGGATTCGTTATATATAAATCATTAGGAGTGGTGCGGTTTTTTAAATTTAAACTTGTTTGATAATAGCTATGTCATTTGCAGACTTCGCAATAATCTAAACTATATCTGGACCGTAAAACAGAAAAGTTTCGCATCGAAATCTTACCTATAAGTTGTTCCATTATTCAAGTTCACTTCATAGTACATCGGCGTATAATAAAGTATAGTAAAACTTGAGAAAATCGTTCAAAACGTACATTTTGCTCTGGCCGCATGTATATCCCTCGAACCCTTCATGAAATTTGCAGACTTTGCGTCGTAAAATATATGTTGTCCCCTGCTTGTCGGCATTATTTCATAGTGATACGATTTTTTTAACTTGTTCCAATTTACGGGACAAAATGTTGATATTTTACCCATAAATACCCTGTCGATAGGCCGTAAAACATTGCAAGAAGAACGATGTTTCATGAATTGTCGTCCATGTTTGATATCAGCAAGAAGCTTAGGAACCAGGCTTTCTTCCAGTGTGGGCTACACGGAGGGATAGCGATGTATACACAAAATATTTGAGTCGTTTGCCATGCGCATCACTTTATATCCCATCATAATAAATGAAAGGTATGTAAAAGGCCGTCAATACCTAACATATGTATTTTTCTGCTTTAGTTAAACAAAAAACTAAGCAAAATGTATTTTTTTAGTTAAAACTTGCGTTTGTTAGGTATGAATAACTTTTCATAGGAAAAACCGCTGAGATATATTGCGGGCGCATGTCCTGAATTTCTGGCCATGCATCAAATGATGGAATTAACTAATACTGGATTATTGTATTTCACAGGTACATATAGAATATGGATTTTGAATCAGTGAATTCGAAGTTATCAATGCTTATACTGACTATAGGGGTGTTAACATAGTTAATCGTAATGTAATGTAATGTAATGCAATGCAATGTAATGTAATGTAATGTAATGTAATGTAATGTAATGTAATGTAATGTAATGTAATGTAATGTAATGTAATGTAATGTAATGTAATGTAATGTAATGTAATGTAATGTAATGTAATGTAATGTAATGTAATGTAATGTAATGTACATAGTATCTGGCATAGTACAAAACATGGACTGGACTGGACTGGACAGTTGGACTGGACTGGACAGTTGGACTGGACTGGACAGTTGGACTGGACTGGACAGTTGGACTGGACTGTTGGAATGGACTGGACTGGACTGTTGGACTGGACTGATTTTTACATTTTCTCTATTCTTGACTTGCACGTCACCCGCCATGTCAGATGGCATGGCACAAAAGAATATTTTATCACAGAATAGATATACCATGTCATGTCTATTTTGTAATTTTATCGATCGGAACATTGTCTGGTGTGTACCAGGAGGAGATTGGTTGCTAGTCAAGAATATAACGTTTTGCACCTGAATTACTTTTGATTTTCGGAAATTGAAATATTTTACCTTCGCCGATGACCTCACTTTATAACTGGAGTGAAATCTCAGTAAGAAACCCCAGTAAGTAGAAGAGAATACAATACCAGACATAAACTACTTATCTGTCTTTGCTATGGGTAGCCTGCTCGCATACGTATTAAATTTCGATATTTCAGTCAGGGGCGGCGCTAACCCTCTTCGAGTGGGGGTGTGTGAGTGATCTTTTGCCGACTGTTGTTTGGTAATTTTGCCGAGTCATTAGCCTATAGTGAGGGTCCTGAAGTGGGGGGGGGAAGTCCACCTGAAATTTTGGCAAAATCCCAGTCCCAGTTGGATTTTTATTAGAAATCCCAGTCCGAGTTATTGAAATCCCAGTCAATAAAAAAACATTTATTTATCGGTAGAATAAACAGTTTTAAGACCTTTTAAGCCACCGTGTGTGCAAGTGGCGGACACTTTATGAAATATTGGG